AATTCCAGAAAACCTCCACAGCTAAGAAATTGTCTTACAGAGCTAAACAGAAGAATTCACACTTTTAAGGAGAGCCGAATACCGTAAACTACAAACATAGATACCATATTAGTAGGGGGGAAACATGGTCATCGTGAAGTTATAGGAGATAAGAGATTATATAATCATAATCATCATCACAATTCTATTGTGTCCAAAGCTACGCTAACACCTAGCAAAAGCTGTTTTAACACAGCCAACTCCCAAGGAAACACAACAATTACATATTTAATCCCTTAGAAGACATATTATACAGATCACCATAAGAATAAAATGACTATGTCGAACTGATGAGAAGGTCTGAGAAACAGCTGGAGTCTCAAAACAATACACTAACTGCTCTGACTAGCCAGAGTAGCTGCTTAGCACAGCATCGCTGTCTCACAAAACGGATGTCGTGGAAAAAACTACGTGATTAATAATCTCTCTTCAACGGACTTCAAGTTCCAAGTGATAATATCAGACTGGGACCAGTGAATCGTTCTGGGGTAAAATTGATCAGTGGTGTTTTCTTACCAGCTGCCTTGAAGCACTTCCCCTACAGCATCCGCCATTGCTGTGGTGACGGTCCACGACACGTCAAACTGTGTCGTAAATACCAGCGTCCTGTCTCTAGGACCCATGCTAGGACCACATGCGCGCGCTTGACACTAGTCTAGACGTGACGTACAACGCGATATTCAGCGGCGCGCGACTTAAGCTTTGATGAGTTTAAAGAAATTCAAATGAGAGAATTAGTAAATCTAGAAGAGAGAATTGATAGTATGAAAAAATCCCTTAATCATTGGTTTATGAGAGATCTGTCTATCATGGGCAGAATACTCTTGACCAAAGCAGAAGGCATATCTACTGATTTACCCATGTTACTCTCTTTATGTTTCTCCTCAACTGATAAAAAAGGTAAACTCTATTTTGTTTCAATTTATATGGAAAAACAAAACTCATTATATTAAAAAATCTCAGATGATTAAAGAATATAAAAATCAATGGTCTACTTAAACTGAATTGCATTGGATTAAAATTGAGCAAAAGATTCGGTTTTGAAGTAGATCCTTGTGGTTTTTGTTTAGTAGAGCCTGAAACCATTGATCATTTATTTTATTCCTGTCCAGTAATATTGAAATATGGCAGGATCTTTTCAGTTGGTTAAATATTGACTAAATTTGTTTCAGGTTTTGGTTTATGCAGATGGTCTTTCAAAAGAGTTGTCAAACACTTTGAACATTATTATTACAATGGGTAAATATCATATACACAAAAGTAAGTGGAATAACAGTAAACCCTCTTTAAATTACTTTAAAAATGAATGCAAAAAATACTTAGAATCTTTAAAACACTTATCCAAAGATAATCAAACCCTTGGAGAATTGTATAAATCCATGAGTCTCGAATTTCTTTTAAGTTTGGTTGGATTTATTTATGCCTGTATTTATTTATTAATTTGTTTTCCTTGCACCCCCTCTAAAATGGTTAATGTTTTGTTTGTTGTATGTGATATATATACACACATGGACATTTATGATGGAGATATGGTTGGAAAAGTGTATATTTTGTAATAGGCATTTTATTGTTCCCATTTGGTTTTGTAAATTGATATTGTTCAAAAAAATTTTTTATTTTTTTTTAAACCTTTGATGAAAAAAAAATTAGCATTCTAGACCTGGTCGGTTTCAACATGGCATGACACTTGTTGCCTGCCTCTAACATAAATTAGTCTTTCATTTTGTTGTGCTTTTGCATGTAGCCCACTTTCTTTTAATAAATTGTAATTCATTTTCTGCCATGATGCATCCCCTTGTTGTATGATTTATGTCATATGTAATGTGTTTTTGAATAAACAAAATAGTTAGCCACTCGACTGGATCTTCTGGTCTGAGTTTAATTTATTTGTCACATGACCGAAAATAGCCTCATCAGCAAAGGAGGCGACAAACATTGATCATTCCAGCTAACAGTGTGTTACAGAGATTTAATTTAGGCTACATAATTTAGGTTATCCTTGTATTTTTTTTGAAGCGGAAAATATTCTATAATCCACGTTTAGGCCCTATATACAAGCTTTTTTGGGTGGATAAAATTTTTATTAGAGGGGAAAATAACCTATATTAGACGAATAATTTTGATATAGGAGCTATATTATTCCACTAAAATATTAATTATTTTATTTTTTCTTATACTACTTTTTAATTATTCAGGGAAATTCCATGTAGCCTAGACAAAATGGTCAGCGTCCAATAAAATTATATCAATTTCCTCCAGGAGATCAAGGACTTCAGCACCTGGTTGAAGAACATTATGTCCAAGATGGTCTGTTTCCACACAAAGTTTTGCAAAAAAATAATCTTGAGAACTGATAGCCTATCATTTTGTTAATTCACCAAACCACTTGTTCAGAGCAAATTCTGATGACGATACCAAAAAGGGCCTAGCTCCTAGTGACAGGAAGTGTCTAATTCTAATTGAACCAAGATTAATCAAAACTTCATGCTCCAAAACAAAGTAAAGACATTATCATCAGTTAGTCTATCATCCTGGCTCTTTGGGTGCTTTTGACTTTTTTTATTATACCTATCATATGAAGATGCTTGCCAACCTCTACACTTTCACGCAAACAAATGTCAAAAGATATATGTTGATAGATGTTGGCAAAACCTGAGCAAAACTACTGAATAACACAGGGCCCATTTGCATAGCATCTGTCTTAATAGTTTGACCAACTAGTTAGATAAGAGGTTATCAGTCTTACTGTTCTAATGCAAATTAGACAACATTTTTATGTAACTGACATAAAAAGGTTAGGACCAGTCTTGTAGAAAAAATTAGATGACTAAGTCTGAGCAGTTTTTGAAACCGGCTCTAAATTAAAGGCCACCGTTGTTACATGAATGTTGTTACTTTTGATGTCAAGGATTCATGCAAATGCTCATTTACTGATCTCATTTGATGATTTTTTCCAGGAAAAAAATTAATACTGAAGCATAAATGCTTGCCACATTAGGCATGCCATCCTCACAGGAAGCACGCCTGCCAAGACTCAGATTATCGGAAAAGAGCTCAAAAGAGATCGTATATGAAGCACAGGAGCATCAGGTAATCCCCCCATATATCACTTTTAATTTTCTCTATTTGTTTGTATATTTCTATTTGTGACAAGAAGACTGGGAGAAGTTATATGTGATTTCTAAGAAACCTGATTAATATCAGTAGCCTACCGCAGCCACCTGCACTCAAAAAAAGAAAGAAAAGAAAAACCTTTTAAACACTATATGCTTGTGCATATTTTGTATATACATATTTATATTATATAAAAAATAAATGTAAAATTATATGTATTAATTAAGGACAATACACATTTACATTTTTGATGTATAATTGTGACCAGTTTAAGCCAAAATAGCTCATTTTCATCTGCTGTCCCTGGGAATGTGCATTTAATTATTAAGCAAATGTAATAAGCATTAAATAAAAATAGTTACAAATAACAAATCTAAAAAAAAAAACGAATTCACTTTGGATAAAAGCATCTCCAAAATAATAAATAAATGTAAATCTGCATCGAAAAACGAAAGCATGCTGGCTTTATGAATAACTGTCGACAACTTGATTCTTTATTTTAGGGTATCATACATTAATATTACACAAGTAAACTTTACCGACATCACATTTACCCCAACCCCCTTCCCCTTACTTATTTTTTACTTGAGGCATCTTTTTTTGCACAGCAACTTTCAACAGATTCAGCACAACAAATTCATTTTAAACCTTTAGGTTGTGCCAATTAGCTTGCATTAGTTTAATTTAAAACAATCGTTTTGTGATCTTCAAACATGCAGCAGAATGACTGGAATGACTTGTTCTACCAATATTGGTAGGTAAAACCATTAATAATTGATCAGGCTGAAGAAAAAGAAAATAAGCAAACATGTAAACATTTACATATTAGGCAATGCTTAATGTGTACATGCATAGGCAATTTAATTGCCCCCCCCACCCCCCAATGGCATAGGACAAGCCCTATAAAGACAGCAAAGCCATTTTGTTGTTTTGATATTGAAATCATCTTAAAGCAGAAGATGGCTGAATGAATGTAGATAAGTGAAGAAATCATGGTTGCAATATTTCACTTTTTACTGCCTTTTATTAATAATGGTTAAACTGTGAATGTTTCATTTTATATATATATATATATATATATATATATATATAAATACAATTTACTACTAGTTATTCTATAAAACTCCCCTCCGTAGACACAAATATAATATATGTATTTAAGGGCATGCCATACTTTAAAAGTACCTCAAGATTTTACAAATCAATGAAAAATTTAAACAAAAGACTAGGGAGGGGGAACTTAGTTGCTAAATGTAAGGTGTTTTTTTTTTTTTTTTTTTTTTTGCATTGATATTTTTCAAGAAGTGAGACATTCTTCAAAAATACCCCTCAATGACATTTTTATTTCACAGAGGAATAAAATCAGATATGTGCAGTTTTAAAGATAAAATGAGAGGAATGTAATTTTGGCGGTTCATAATGTAGGCTCATTCTTGTTTTTGCACACAAATGCAACATTACATTTCTCACAGCTTTGTTTTAAACATTTAACATTTTAGTGCCTCAGTTTAATAAGATGGGAAAGGTGATTTCAGACCAAACTACTCATACAGGGCTAAGGAGGTTTTAAATTACTTTAGTTATATTCTCTTGTAAATTAAATAATGTGTAATTTGCGTGTCAGAAAAGTATTATCTTTAGGATGTTACTTTATGTGTATTGACACATTTTTTTAAAGAGAAATCTCATTGCTGCACAGAAAATATATAATTAAAAATAATAAAAAAAATCAAGATAAAACTGTATGGCCAAATTTCAAACTTTCCCTTGATATAATACCCTTCTTGCAAAAACAGTGTAATCACAGCAGTGACACATCAAGGACATACAGATTTAAAACAAACACATCTCAACTAAAATTTTAATCCTGCATTTCCCATACAACAAAGAACGCAAATAAGATTGTTAGGATGTGACAGTGAAAGGACAAAGCTTACGCACATTACAGCATCAAACCATGAATACATAACGCAGTCCTGCTGATGGTATACACTGATTTAACCTAGTGAATCTAGTGTTTTGGAGGAAAAAAAAGAGAAAGAAATAATTACCAATTGGCAGGGGAGGCTGAACATGAACAAATGAGCGCCGTTTGTAAATCATAATATAGCCATACTCAATGAGGGAGGATTTGAACTATGCCAGTGATAATTTTATCTTTAACAGAGCAGCCATCAGTCTTTTTCACAAGCTTGTTTTTGCATTCTCGTTTCCTTCTGCTGCTCCTCCAACTTCCAGTCTTCAAAATTGGTGTAAACACGTGATAGCAGAACATGTTCGGTCTTTCTTTTCATTGACAATGATCATCTTTATGATGAAGTAAAAAAAAAAAAAAAAAAAAAAATCAAACTTATGAGATGTGTACTCTGGCCCGGCAGTAGAGTGGAGAAAGGAAGCAAGAGTTATAGCGTGGGAGGCTTAAGCCCGTACTTCTTGGCCACCTCCGTCTGGGCATAAGCAGCATCACAGAGGGAGTAAAGATGGGCCATCTCCATCTCTGACTTGGCCAGGTTGATGGCCTTGTTGAACATGTCTATAGCCTTGTCCAGATTGCCTCTGTGGGAAAATAAATAAATAATATTTTTAAAGGGACTATAACAAGAAGGACTGAAAAGGACTAAAATTTGGTGTCATAACCTTACTTATTACAAGGTTACAACCCTCACACCCATCAACCCTTACACAAACTTTTCAATATAATCAATGACCCACACATTAGGAATTTGGGGGGTATAGAAAAAATATTTTAGTGACACAATGTAACATTTTGGGCATCACAAACCTTTGGACTTCAATGGTTCCCATTGTTTCATAAGCAAAGTCGCATTTATTGTCAATTTCAATGGCTTTGCTAATGAGTTCAAGCCCCATTTCCAAATCTTGTTTCCATTGAAGCTGCAACAGACTGCAAACAGAAACACAACTGATAAGTATTTTCTTTGTTGAACTTAACTTATAGATTAACATTCTTTAAATACAAAAAAGGATAAAACGAACCCTTTGTGGACATATGTCGTGGCGTTGTCAGGCTCTAGTTCAATACATTTATCATACATTTCATCAGCCTTACCAAACTGTTGCTGGTCAGTTAGTGCCTATCACAAAAGTAAAAAAAAAAAAAAAAAAAAAAAACATTATAGTTAAAGATATGAAGTAAACTGATCAGATACAATTTTATGGTTTTATGCCATCAATATGAAAAGTACCTGTGCATACAAAGCATAGCCCTCAGCACACTTTAGAAACCTCCTAATGACATCCTCAAAGCCATCCATGGCTTTCTGAACCTGGGATGGGTTGTTTCCAGTGTATGCCTGTCGGTACTACGAGACAAAAAAAAAGTTAAGTTTATACCACTTTTACAGTTAACTTAAGAATTTCTCATATTAGGTTGTTCTGGTTGAAAGTCAACAGCAGTACACAACACCCATAAAGCCATCATGATACCATTTATTATCTTATTCAAATGTCCCCACAAACAGTGCCAGAGCACAGGATTTAATGTGTAAACAGTACCCACTCGTGGTACTTACCAATGCAAAGCACTTCTGGGCCTGGGCGAGTGCAGAGTCTGGTCGAAGTTTTATACACTCATCAAAATCTCCCACAGCCTCCTCCACCTGATCCAGCAGAATCTTCAACTGAGAAGTGAAAATATTCCCAATTGGTTATCCATACATAAAGTTTGTTGCCATTAATTGTTGGGGAATGTTGCTAATTGTTGTTCCTAACACAGTTGTAAGGGAATGTTGCAGAAAAAAGAAAAGAAAATTGTACGCAAGTACTTAAGTAAATGGACATCAATGATATTCCATTTGAGCCTCAGAGAACCCACGTTACACTCCTCATCTCACTCCACTGGCTCCCAGTTGGGGCCAGAATCAAGTTTAAAGTTCTAACGCTGACTACCACTAGAACAGCCCCCCGCCCACTACTACAAATGTATGCTCCCTCCTGCCAGCTAAGGTCACTGAATGAGCAACATCTTGTTCCCTCAAAACGAGGTAAAAAGGTTCTTAAATTGGTGAAGGCCATCTTAATAATATTACAAACAGAAACCAACCAAAATGCACACTTTATCAGGGGATTTCCCATCTACTGACTATTTTTGCAAACATTTCTGCTAGATGAAATGAGGGGCACAGCAGGTCATGAACTCAGCATGGATACGAGTTGCTATTAACACACACCAACTGAGACATGCAGCCAGACAATGAATCCTGATTCTCTAAAAACTGTAGATGAAGATTACAGCTGGAAACCGGCTCAATTGAAAATGGAAATCTCATATATTAATTCCATGAGCATTCAACAGAAGGGCTTGGTTTTCAGCATGTCTTTAGGTGAACATTTCAACATGTATGTGACGTTGTCATACCTGTCCCCTGTGATGGTAGACATCAGCATTACGGGGGTCAATTTCTGCAGCCATGTTGAAATCCTGCGTGGAGTGCTGGGGCTGCTGCTGCTGCATGTACATGCTTCCACGTTTAATGAGCGCATTAGCACGTAACTGAAACACATCACAAAGATGCGTTAACACTAATAGGATCAATAAGAGAGGCAAGCAGGGCGAGAGCTGTGGGAACAGAGCGAGGGTGGTGGCGCAAGTGATAATGAGCGTCACCTGCGCCGCCACACCTGGCGCGAGTCCCACGGAGGAGCTCCGAAATGATAAAAGGAGAAGTGAAGACAGTGAAGGACGAGAGAGGACCAGGCCTGGACTTTATGTTGTTTTGATTACGTTTGTACGGCAGTCGTCCGTGGGGGGCTGCCGCTTTACTTTCGTTTTGTAGGGTTTATTTTGGACATTAATGTGAATGTTGAACGTTCGCAGGTTCGTTGTTCTCTGTACTGATAGCACTCCAAATTTACAAAAAAATTAGCTCAATGTTAAAATTGACCAGAGTTCTCCTTTAAGGGCCTTAATTTTCTCCAAAATGGTTTATTAACTTTTAATACTTTTTAAGACCCCCTGAAAGACATACTACAAATTCCCTTAACGTAAATGTCAACAAAATGTTTTAATCTCTGATAATCTTTTGGGGTTATTAGATATAAACCTACAATTGTTGCAGGATAGTTAGAGACAGGTAAATCTGATTATACATAGTATATTCATTTTTAATTTACATTTAATCTGTAATTTGGTAACTGATAAAAAATGGCGAGAGACGGCATCTCAACTCTTGCAGGCATGTGACTAAAGACAAAAAAGAAGGAAAACCTGGCCCGCCATGCAATTAATATTATGAAAAAATGTTTATCAAATAAAAAAATATTTTTAAAGTATTGAACTTAAAAAAAATTTTTTTTTTATTTAATAATCATAACAATATAATATATTATAATAAAAGTAATAATGGAATTGTTATTATTATTAATAATAACAATAGTTATTATTATTTTATTTTACAGAACAGTAAAATTACAATACTAACATTTATGGTTGTCAATTTCTTTGCTTTCAAATGTTAAACCTTTGATCTTTTATTTTTAGCGTAAAACTGCAGGGACACCTTATTGCTTCTCTTTGTTGACAACAACAGATTTCTAAACAATTCTCATAACGAACGTTGCATTCCCAAATGCAAATTATAAGCGACTCAAACACGCAAACCTTTCAGAGTAACATTTGTAAACTGGAAACAGTGCTGTTACAGTACTCTGAAGCATGCAGTGCATCAGACTATATATTTATATAACTACATCACAACCGTTGTGATTTGATGATCGGGCAACTGGCAAATTACACAGTTTCAACACCAACTTGAACTCGTATTTGGGCTTTGAACTAGGGTTGGGCGATGTCCCCTAAATTGGCAGTTGACGATGTTTAGAGTAAAACATTGCGATGGACGATGATATTGTCGGTCAAAATAAACACAGAGTGACGTGACAATGAATTTCATCATAAATGCATTTAATTAAATAAAATGTAGTAATCTCACCATAAATGCATTTAATTAAATACTACTTTTTTTTTCACAGTCATTTTACTTTAAGACCGGTTAAACCAAGGAAAAATACAATTTACTTCAACAAGGACATAATAAACGACACGTTTCATTCGTGGAGGTGGAAAAACAAGTTTTTAGTGACATGCAAGATTTATTGTATAAAGATTTAAATTATGCAAAAGAAAAGGTATGAGTCTGATGTTTTTGTCAATTTTAAGTTTTAATTTAAAATGTTTAATAATAAAATGTGAAATTAAAAGTACATGGTTAAATATTATACCACTTGCTTGAGCAACTTAATTTATAACCTATATAGAAGTAATCATTGAATAATACATTGTTTAAATTGTGTTTAAACGTGAATACGTCTATTAATGAGTCTATATGTGTACAAAGAGAATCGCAATGCTGGCAACTTTTTTTTAAAATAAAAGTTTCTGATAACTTCTGGTTCTTCAACTTCTGGTATTTCAAAAGACTTGACGTGTTACGCCCGTTTCACACATACTACTCCGTGTGCAGTGTGTATGCGGTACAGGAGCAGCACGCGCTAGTGCTTTCACATATGCTGCGTTTACAGTGCGCAACTGATCCGCGGCTTTACCACAAACACATTTACTCACTATTGGTATTTCAAATTGATTTCTTGACTTTTTAAAAAAAAATACCAATAGTGAGTAAATGTGTTTGTGGTAAAGCTCTCCATCGTGATGTCGGTCAGCCATCACGATGAACGATGACATCGTCCATCGGCACAACCCTACTTTGAACCCTGGCTAACGTGCTAATAGTGTCCAGCAGATGGCGCCGGAAGCACGTGCAGCGCTGTTAGAAGCGCATTTAGACCTGCACTCCTACGGGACTACCACGGGACCCAACGTAACAGAGTGCCGAGTGCAGGTGTTAAGGTATTGTGGGTTGCGGAAAAATAGAAATAACTATAAATAAAACATCTAAAAACGAATAAATTGTTATTCATCTGTTGTACACAAGCAACAAGAACAACTAAAACAAAATAGAAATGATTTACAGGCCAGAGTTTCTATTTATAACATATTTGCAGCATTAAACAATGTAGACAATCACAGACATACGTGTTGATTTCTTGACTTTTTGTTCAGTACTGAATTCTGCATGCTAGCAAATCCTCTGATTATAACAAACAAAGTGTAGATATTATGAAAGATTCACTGTGCAGTCAGCTTCATTGATAATAACAGATTTGATTGATAATAACAGATTTGTGAGATCGCGATGAACTGAGATGTCAGCTTTTTAGGAATTATTAAAGGAGCGCACTGAGCGCATTCTGTCATGCCAAACCATGCACACAGTAGTAGTCTGCTTGCTTTTATGTTAAAGTCCCACTCCGATCATATTTTTTAGCTATTTTTAAACATTCCCAGTGGTCTTTAAATTATGATTATGCCATTTTTAGCCAAAATCACAAAACCTGTGCCGTTTTCTGGGACTTCGCTTCAGCAGAGCGGCAGTAGCTCATTAGAAATTCGCCTCTGCGTTGTGGGCGGAGCCGTTGGCACGGAGGCACGGGGACGACCCTCCCCCTCCCCATTGCTGAGAGCTCTGTCTCTCCCGCTAGCTTACATCCCCAACCTGTCAATACCGGTGCAACAAAAATGGAGAACAATATTGGAGCTATCCAGCCGTACAGTTTTGAGCCAGATGCCAGCTCGGACGAGGAACGTACATAGATCTAGTCGTCTACAAGTGGATGTATCAGAATGGTAACGTTATTGTTTTTGTAATCTCTTGAATTGACTATTTCAGGCCAATAACTCCTAATAACATGTTAGTAAATAAATATGTTTGTGGACATGCTCCAAACATTTAGTCAGATTAACCTTTTTGAAGTTTTCATAGCTATCACACAAAGAATAAATCATAGTGCTGCAGAATCAAGTTTACTTATAGAGCACAGTATGAGCTTGTGGCCCCGCCCAGTGGAGTTACTACGTCACAACTCCAGTCTATTTCAAACGGCATTTTTGCGTCTGCTACTGATTCACAGCCATTTGAATGTAGAAATACTCAGAAATACAACTTTGAGCCTATTTTTCTAAAGATATGTCCTCTAACATAAGAAAAATGCCACAAGAACATGTTAACACCTAGAAAAACATTATTTTCATCGGAGTGGGTCTTTAAATTAACAGTGGTTTGTGAATGTTAATACTTGTACTTTAATAACAAATTATTTATTGGGAGCATTTATGCTGATGTGTAGGTTGTGGTGACACATGTAGGCTAATTTGAAAGTATTTCATGGAGGTACAGAAAACAAATCTGTTTATACTTTTTTGCGGGCGGGAGCGGGACAAAACATGAATGTTTTTCACAGATTTCACAGATACACAGGGATGGGACGGTATGAAAATTTCCAAAATTATCATGATTATCAATATTATCATGGTTTTGTTAAAATGAGATGAAAGTGTTCAAAATTTTCAAAAAGAACTGATGCTCACACTGAAAACATTTCAACAAGTTTTATATTTGAAAATCAACAAACAACAAATAAAACAAGCAGCTCTATGCAGTTTTTTAAGCAAGATTACATTCTGTGGCATTTCCTTCTTTATAATGACCGTCGTCAATAGCAACGCATTATTACACAGCGGATATCCATGTATCACAACGGACGCGCACTCTTACTTGCCGTCTTGCGTCTCCCGTTTTTGATTGTATTGAAAATGAAATCAGAGTTGATTTATTGTTTACAGAGTTTGATAATATTGATGTGATCATCTTGTCTGGACGATTGTTTTGTACGCTGTACAAAATGAATTTATAAACAGGTAAGATTTAAAACATTAATCTCATTATCAATTCAATATGTCCCCGTAATTATGTGGTAAAAATAAAATCGGTGTAATAAGTGTACAATGAATCTATGCATTACTATTAGGGCTGTGTTGAAAAAATCGATTCACCAATTGTGAATCGATTTTCATATTAATTTCTAAAGATCGATCCGTAACTCAGAGGATCGATTTAATAATAGGCTTACATTTTCCCCGTAAACTTTAACTTGCCGCGACTGGGAGATCCCTGTATGCGCATTGAAAGGCTTTCACTCAGCGCGCACACTGTTACAACAACGGGCTTTAAGTGAGTCATTCGTTCATTCAACGAACACGTTCAAAAAAGCTGATTCATTAAAAGAGATGTAATGAAACAAGGTGTTAATTATTTTTAACTTTGAGTTCCACTTTTCAAGGCTCAGCTGAGCAGCAATGCGTCGCATGGGTAACGCTGAAGCTAATGCTTCTCTTATTAGAGACCAATATGGCATTGATTCAATGCGTGACTCGCTGATTTTATTTCCCCGCGGCTTCCTCGCGCAGTGGAATGCTGACCAGGGCTGCTCCTGACGCGCATTTATGGTAAATACCCGTGACGTGAACGTTAAAAGGATGATACGACAAATATTTCGCTTTCCTTTGACACGGCAACCTTTTTCACGAATACATATGACTTCAAAGACAGACGCAGGTAATCCGCACGCGCTCTGTCGATCTCTCTCATTCACTGTCTGTGCGAAGCCTCTGTAGGCTAGCTACATCACCACGATAATAAATAGTCTTGTTTGTTATCATTATGAACTTGTTTAACATTCAATACACATGCATGAAGTTCAAAACAAGCAGTTAAATGTCTATAATAGTATCAATATGTTGCATAACTACAGTCCTGTAATTCAGGTAACAGCTGGAAAAAACAAAAACACTTATCTAAATCTCGAAAATCGGATCAGATCGGATCGGATCGAATCGAATAATGATAATCGATTCAAGATCTTGAGAATCGGAATCGAATCGATTCTTGAAATTTGAATCGAAACCCAGCTCTAATTACTATCCCTTAAAAAAAGAAGTTGTTCGTTCGTCTTTGGCTCATAGCCACTTGCTGCGAACTTTTCTTCGCGGAAGCATCACGTCTATTTCAAGTGAGTGACAAAATATTTCAACTCAAAACAATATTTTGTGCCCAATTGTTTCCCAGACCTTTTGGTATCGAGGTCAAAGTTAACTTGCCTTGCGTTCGCTATACAACAGTGGGTGATGTTCACACAAGGCGACTCGGCAGATTAGAAGTGTTTCTATTGCAGCGACTTTTGCTTCGGCAGACGGGGTGACCATCCTCGATCAAGTTTCCCTCAGGACTTATATGCTAAAAGCCAAAATATGACCACACCTCAGATTTGGTCCTCTTAAAAGGCTGAAAAATCTCCCGAGCACAGTCACTACCTTCCGCCATTCCTTCTCGAATAAAAAAACAAAACATTGCGCGCCTGCGTCAGACTGTTGCTGGCTGGACAGGATTTACAGTGAGTTATTAAAATCGCGATGATCAAACATGCTTTTAATGATAATTAAATTTTAAACGATAATACTAACCGTCACTATATTTTATCGTGAAACCGGTGATCGTCCCATCCCTAGTTTACACAATTTGTGAGTCATACAGAAAAATCACATCCTTGCTATAATCTGTTACCTTGACACTGGCATTCTCCATGTTAATGACACGGTCAAGATCAGGCTGTGCGGCTGTAGCGTTGCCAATCAGCAGGTAGAAGGTGGCTCTCAGCAGAAGAGCTTCAGCTGTGTACCTGCCTCCAGACTCAATCTCCTTTGTGCACTCACTGATGATCTTATCATAGTTTTCCTCCTCCATATACTGCTTAGCCTTTAGGTAGCCTGAGCTGAGGAAACATTTATTTTTTTAATTTAGGAAATGTTTTTTTGATTCAAATTTGGAACAAATGAAAATAATAAAACTTGTTTTTTAGTTATTATAGAAATAAAAAGTTTATACTGAGTAAAGTGAATGAAAGTGACTTATACTTAGTTGTGACTGTATTTCTAATAATGTAACAATAAGACACTCTAAACATTTAGGATTTAAAAGCAACAAAAGGAAGCACTGTCAACAAAAGCACAAACAGTGAATTTACAAATCTCAGTTTGTATTGGCAAAATATAATACCCTCAGCTCTCACCTTCCTGTGACCTCTGAAGCCTCACCCTCTTTGTCTTTATCCTCATCCTTCTTTTCACCTTTCTGTAGGGGCTGTGAAATGATGTCATCAGTAAAGGAGCTGAAGTAGGACTTGATAAACTGAGGAGATGGCATAAGAGGCTCCCGGTTCTGAGAAAAGCAAAAAATAAATAAAAATAAGGTAGATTATATAAACATGTAATACAGTTTACATTTAAGTCTAAGATCTGTACCTTTCCATCATATTCCCACCTTGTATTTCTCTTTGGCCTTTTCTTTCCCCAGCTGTTTCAGCACCTTGTCTGCAAGTAGCATACTCTGCTGGTTCTGGAAAACCTCCAGAATACATACTGCAGTCACATCTACAATAAGTAGAAACATATATTTGACTGAAACACATGTTATGCCAGAGAACAGAATGTAGTCAATGACTAAGTTTACATGTGCACCAATAATGTGATTATTTCTAAAAAATCAGAGTAAGGTCTTAAGATGTTTACATGACACGAGCAGACCTCTTCACTGCAATTTTTATTATTCGCAAATAAGTATGGTTATACCACACTCATATAGGCATACAGAATGCATGTTACCGGCCACATAATTTAATGTGAATATGGTTACTATGATTACAGACTTAATCACATTAGTTTGATCGAAGTATTGCGTTTACATGAGGTAAAGTTTAAATCGCAAAATTGCCAAACTCCCATTATAATCGCATTATGAAGGTGCAAGTAAATGTTCTTTTTGAATTAAAACAATTGATGGTAATTAATGACAACTTGATTTAATGGCCAATAGCAGTGATTGTGAGAACAGGTTGTTTAGAAACATAAGGTTCTAAAAACAACCTAGAAATATAAAAGGATGAAACACGTCATATATGACTTTAAAATTAAAATCTACCACACAAAGCAAAAATTCGAGTAAAATTAAAAACAAACAACAGAAACACAATTAAAATCAAACTAGAAATAACGCTAACCTTCTAGGCATTCCCTCTTATTATCCAGTTTTTCCAGTGCTTTGGCACGCCTAAAAAGGGCTTTTACATAGCAAGGATTCAGCTCGACTGCCTGAGAGCAATCCTGTATCACTTCTGTCCATTTCATCTGAAACACAAAAACAAACAAAAAGAAATCGTTCAGACGTGTAAAACTTTGTGATGATGCTACAAATGATGATCTGACAGACAAACCTGTTGCTCGTAGGCTGCAGCTCTATTCTGGTAGAAGGTGGACAGATCTCCTTTCTGTTCTTTGGGACATAGGCTGATGGCTTCTGTGTAGCACTGGATGGCCTGCTCATATTTGCCAGCCTTGAAGTATTTGTTGCCCTTATTCTTCGCAGATTGTGCTCTGTCAAGGGGACTCTGGATAGGCAGACAATTATTTTAAAAGTAATTATTAAGATTGCATGATGAATAGAACATATGATAAGAACAAAACTGCATGCTCTATCGTAGTGTAATATGATCTGCTCTATTGGTAGTGAAATACTTTGTGAAAAAGCTTTTTCATTTAATCCAGAACCGAAATTAACTACTAGAGCACTTTTCAATTAACATACATGGTAACTTTCAACACAAATGTATACCACTGTCATTAGAAAATGTGAAAATTGTATATGCTGGTTAAACAAAAAGATGCAATTCATTTTTCAGAAGGCATGCTACATACAAGAATGTCTCAAATCTGACATGATATGATACATCAGCAAACAGATCAACATATAAAAATTCACTTAGTTGTGTTTGCCAAATTCTGTGCCACAAGCTCAGTCAATGTTAAAGAAGCCACTGAGATTAGCAGGTATTGCAACAGTAAGCTTTACATGGTGATTCTGTGTGCATCTAAAGCATGTATTTTCCTAATCTACAAATGAAAGCACCAAGTCTTTTTTTCCATGTTGATGTTCCTGTAGTTCCTATATAGGCCTAAATTAAATAAATGAAAATTAAACCTTACAACCATTTCACCTTCTCAAAGATCAACTTGTCTACAAATAACCCTCCAAAAATTGCATAAAAACCCAAATCTCTGCATAAGACTCCTCCCTCTGTCTAGCCCTGGACAAATCCCCCACTCCGCATCTTTCTGTCTGTCTAATCCCCAGATCTTACAAACAGAGAGGTGAGCTCCCTATTGAGAATGAAGTCTTAATTATATCATAAATAGTACAAAATGAGTATATGCATTCCCATATTGCAAAGTATATGTTAATGGAAGGAACTATGCGTTTCCAGGAACTCCAACTTGATAGTATGTGCTGTGGGTTCAATATTTTTTACGTTAAGTAAATATTAAATATTTCTTATTATATTATATTTTAAAAGCTCAAAGTTAACAAATACTAAAACATCCTAAACATTCTAACAGCAAAGCATCCAGCCAAAATGTCCTTAAAACTATAGAAAAATGAACTGACATATACTGAAAGAGGCAAGAGCCCTGCATCTATTAATCTGAGAGTATAATAAATAAGAGGTCTCTGAATTTCATCTATTATGTATTATGATACCAAGTTAATTTTGCTACATTTGTAGGGATGAGGGCTGGAAGCTGGAGACACATGCTCTACTTATTTGATTTTGTTTGTCAGAGCAAGCCTGTAATAGATTAAATGGGTCCTATTTTGTAGGGGTAATCAGTTGACTATGGATCACAACCTGTGAATATGTTTTATTATTTGTTGTGTTTTCAGTTAACAATTCCAATAATAACTTTTATGCTGTTGCTACGATGTAAACAAAGGGCAAAGCTGTTTGGCCCTGCTAGCCTGCTAGCTAACATTACAGTGTTGATGTAGTGTTTAGCTACGGTGCTCTCGCTTTTGTAAGACTGTTCACCGATCATTAGGAACTTACCACTCTGAAACGTGTTCACAAACATTAGCAAAATGGCATTTCCAGCACACGCTCTAAGCGGTGCCAATAACAACACACAGGGCAATCTAACCAATCAGAGCACATTTCGTATTTCCGAAGGAGGGGCTTTATCGAAACAGGAACTAAACCGAGCGTTTGAGAGAGACTGGGAAGAGAGGTGCTGCGATAATGTAAAATATGAGAAAAATAATGTGGTTTTTGAACAACCAAGCAAGAAAACCTATTCTAGTACACCCCTAAAATAAAATCAAGACTTCGTAAAATGGAATAATAGGACCCCTATAAATGCAGCTGCTGCATCACAGTTCATGTAGTATTATATAGAACTCTTACCATGCACATAAATATAACATATATGTTCCATAGCTGCAACTTGAGCAATTTCCACTGGCCTAGTCATATTTAATATTGCTAAATGCATACATTTATGTGAGTAATTCATGCATGTGTCATTAGAGGTAACCCAGGGTTCCCACACTTTTGACTACTGACTGTCCATGACCTTTCCAGTCATTCGAGATTAATGGATAAGAATTTTTAATCACACTGATATGTAGTATGATTAAAAACTACTTTGACAAAAAAGAATCAAGTCAAACAGTCCACTCACAAATCAAACACCGTTTTTTTCTTCTTGCGAACAGAGATGAACTCCAGAGCTCGACCCTGACTATGTAACTGAATACTATACCTTACAATCTATAAGCATACAGGTCCATGTTCGACAACATTTTTACGTTTAAAATGTTGTTAAACTAGTTGTCGGCAAATGTTGTTGGCACTTTGTGTCAACACGAAGTGCAATAAAAGTAACAGATAAAAGACTAATAGTTAACAAGGAAACTATCACATGTGGCATTGCCTCAGTCTGACCATCTCCCCGCCCTCGCATACAGCACACACCACCAGAATTTAATATAATACCGCGACATTTAGGCGTATGATCAAAATATATTCCGCATCAGGGTTATCAAACCAAGGGCATTTGACTACCCTAGCAGCCAGACTGAACAGATTTTGATCACATATGTTGTTTAGGAGCTCACGTTTGGAAGCTAGCTGGCTATTGCACATTCGCTAAGACGGGCTAGTTTGTCAAGCGGTGTCCTTGACTGGGAGTGCAGTAATGTTATGGTGTCAAGAAAATATATACGGGCAAAATGACAGGTCCACATATATAAATGTTGTCTATTAAGAGAAAAAGACCAGTTAGGCTTTATAATTGGGGACATTACCATGTTCTCCAGCTCTGGGTTAGTCGCACCGTGCTGGCCCTGGACAGGGCTAGCGCTTCCTTCGGGAGTTTTCCTCTCTCCATTCTTTTTCCCTTGCTTTCCCTTGCTGCGACTTCGGTTCCACAGGTAAACAGCTCCGACGCCTAGGACGATCGGTGTCCCTACTAGGAGTGCCAGCTGCCAGCGGGGGAGCCCACTCCCGGACTGAGGCTCTACGGGCTTCGACGCAGCCATCATCCACGCAGCAGCACTCACTCAGCTAACGCGCAAACTCACACACTCACTTGCGTGCGTGCGCAACAACGATCCACCTCCTTTACAGAAGCTACTTGCGAGGTCACCGCGCGGAGCAGGTGGTATCATGGGATACTGGAGGACTGTACAGATTTTTATCCACAATGATCTTCTTCTTAATGCCTGTATTTTCTGTCAAGTTGACACAGACAACTGGTCGTCTTCTTCTTCTTTTTTCATGTGTGTTTTCAAATATTTTCTTATTGGTTGGAGACAAAGATTCATTCACTGCCCACTTTTGCTAGGAAACATAGGCTATTATGTTTGAAATGCTGTTGGATGATAAAAAAAGCATTTTTTATTAATGTAGCCTAATTTTGATTATGTGCAAATTTTTCATTCATAAATGTATGAATATTAAACCTTTTCTGTATTCAAAAGAGACTTTATTTGTAATTACTTTCCATCATTGGAATGTATGAAAATTAAAAAGGCCCATAAATGTGTTGGAATAATAAAAGCTTGCATGGTCTCGAATAAAGAGGCCCTTTCTTTCTTTCTTTCTTTCTTTCTTTCTTTCTTTCTTTCTTTCTTTCTTTTTTTAAAAATTATTTTCTTCAAATATATGAAGGCCTAATTTTCTTTATAAATATTTATTTATTTAACTGATATGTGCCCTGCTTAATACTTATTTGTCTGTTTATCAATGCAATTGTAGATGTATATTATAAATATACATCTACAATTGTATTGATAAACACAGACAAATAAGTAAGTATTATAATAATTGTATTATATAAACATATTATTTATATAATCACATATTTTGTGCCTCCTTATTGGCAGTCCATCCAAAGCTTGGTAGTTTTTTTTTAATATACTCCTATTGCCAGCAATCCTTCAGAACTTTCTTAACTGGATGACTACCCAAGTGTCCTTTTATTAATCCATTATCATATTTAACTTGAGCCTTTGACTTTCTTGAGGCATTTCACCCATCTCCACTTGTACTGCTGTTATTAGAGATTACCTTATTAGTCCACAACATATTCGCTGTGATTGAATTGCCTCAGTCTTTAAAAGTTGTTTTAGATGCAGAACTGTACACCATACTGCCATAATCAATAGCTGCGCTTATCAGTGCACAGTGTATATTTTTAAGAGACTGACGACGACATGCTCCCCATTCAACTCCTGCCAAACACCTCATTACATTTATTGCTTTTTTACATTTGTCTAAACATTTTTGGGATATAAATTTTATAAAGTTTTGAATTCATCCACATTCACAGAAATCTGATTACTGACACTTGGTTGGTCCAATAGAGGGTATGCGCATAACGTCACCGTCGGCCGGAGTGAATGCGGTCACGCCCACAAGTGGCAAAAAGACTGAGCGGCAGCATTTGTTTTCAGCGTGAATGCCGTGAAAATCACACAAAACACATCTAAAACGGGAAAGAGCTTTGCGATTGACTGTACAACTAGATTTGACCAGAAATCTGAGGTACTGTATATTTTTACAGACTGCAAAAAGCTACAGAACAGACTATATTCTGCATAATTGGATGTTTTTAAATAAACACTGACAAAAAAACTATACAAGTTTTAGGGCTGGACGATATGATGATATATAGTATAACATTAATGTAAGTGATCACTCGGATTTAGACCTATCTATATTGTATTTATATAAAACGTTTACAGGCAAATTTTCTTTCTTTATTTCCCCGGCGTCGAAATCAGGCACATATAAATGTCAGGAAACACGATTCCTGGCTGCATGTCAATATCCATGGATCACTGGATCTTTGATAAGTTGCAAGGAACACTATATCGAGTCCAACTTTTAGTTTAAACTGATAATAGTTTGTTTTACTCGCGTTTTCGCAGTTTCCCCTATTAACTCCAGCCACGCAGCAGCTCTTTTGCCACTCAGTCCGGCTGAGGGGGCGTGTTCCGGCGGGAAAGTGACGTTAATGTATTCCCTCTATTTCCTGTCAGAATCCGAAGTGCAGATCGATGCACACTCTACCGGCTGATATTGCCCACAACCCATCGCGCGTTGGACACATAGACTGTAAAAAATTGGACATTGGTTGGACACGAGTGAAAAGCGTTAAAAAACTACAGACATGGAGGACGCGCGAGTCCGGCGGTTATGTAGAGAGGTAGATTAAGGGGTTTGTTTGAGTGGTTAATTATCAGTATCTAACCTGACGTAAATTTCTTTATTCAATGTTGTCTACATTGTATTGCATCTGCAGCAGCACTGTGAACTTTTGTAGAGATACGTTAGCCATTAACTTTTAAATGCATCATTACATTCAAATTGCAAACACATGAGGAGAGTCTCCGCATAAAAGACCCATGACTGGCAGATGAACGTGCTACAACATTTCTCTCCGAAATTTTAACTGTGACAAGATGATTGACAGGGCAGATTACGGTGATAGGATGCACGCGACAGATCTGTCCGTTAAAGATGACGAAGTAGTATGTCCCAAAGCTTGCCTACTCTTTTACTGCACACTCAAAAGTAATTACTTTTTCTTCACAAAAAGAGTACATACTTTTAGGGCGTAACAGTTAGTATAAGTAGGCGAATTGGGACGCAGGACTCAGTTTCCCATCACCTCATTATGCCTGTCTCTACCAAAGTCTATGGTCTCTACCAGAGCCATCGAGACAGAGTTGCGACACTCTTTGATGTCGCCGCGCGTGGTTCATGTAAGCCCCAATAGTTCCAAAACATACGCTGGCTGTCATGTTCTTCTATGGGACAGACAGCAGCGATTGCATTATTGAACGGTAAATATAAAATAAAACACACACCCAAGTACTTTTTCAGCTGTTACTGCATTATTGCAGTTTGTTAATGTCAGTTTTGCATTTGGAGAGGCAGGGTGACAACGAAATACTGTATATTACTTAGATAAGGTTTAGGCTTCTTTCTTTTTTTTGAGGGAAAAGCTTAGTGTTCATGTTCGCATATAGTAGCCTAGCACTGGCTTTAGCGGCTCTAACTTAACTTTTCCATATCATTCATCTGATGATGGACGTGTCGTGATATATTTTTTTAGCACAACTGGGCTGTATTAGGCTATTGATTCCCGTGATCTTGCTTATAAATTCCGATTCAGCCAGCCTACCTTCGTGATCACGCAAAGAGGTCTGCAGTGGCGGTCCGTTCAGAATTCCAACCAATATAAAATATAAATATTTACGCTGTGCATGTACAAATGAATGATTTAGGAGGGAAATGGACTGCTCCCATAATGTAGAATGTAACGACTATTTGCAGCAATGTTCGGTAAATATTAACTTCATAAAATGAAACCGGAGAGATAGTTAATGAGTGAATTAACTATGTTCCTAAATACGATCCATAACATGTTTCACGAGTTCACACTTACAAATGATCAGAGAATAGATGGTTATGCGTGTTTGGCGTGCTGTCCGGGGGGAGGGCTCCGAGCTCGGAAATTGGGCCCGAACCCAGAGTACTCCCCCCGTATCTCTGTTTAGGAAGATAACTAGGCAAGTGTGAGGAGATGGGGTGGTGGAGGGATGCTGAAAACTGTCGAGGAATATGGGTGAGTCGACTGAGTATATTTATAGGCTTTACTCGTGCTGATTGAGTGGACCTGTTGATTACTGATTGCTGACAGCTGGCTGGAATGACTTGATTGTTTGATCATTAGAACGTGTTCCTCCCGAACCTTGTTAATAAAACATCAAATGTTTTTGACATACGATCCATAACTGTTAACGGGATTCATTTCAGTATGGCTAATGTACCCCTTCATCCTACCATATAAACACACAAATACATACGTACTGTGTACAGTACACATGTATATATATGTATGTGTTGTACCCCTGAAAAGGGGAAGAAGATTAAAACAGAAAACTCGCACTCGCTGTTTCTCCACTGCAAGCTTTATGTAGAATGGAGAAATCCCGCGAGCTCTCCCCCTAGTGTTCACGCAGACCAGAACAATCGATCGTCCAACTTATCGTTCCAATTAACTGATCACAGATAAACTCAGAATAACTATAAACTACATGTTTATATTTTATAAACTTTTCTACATATTCAAAATAGTGTAGCAACATTGAGATTTGGTGGAGAACGCGACGCATTTCAAACGTTGTTTTATGAGCAAATTCAGTTTCAATCTGTTTATATGGTTATTAATAATTTTGTGCACGCACGCTATGGAATTTTGAAATTGTGAGATAAGTCGCAACGCGAACTCACTCCTAACTGACTGAGGCAAAAACCCGACGTCAGTCAGTAACGTTACATTTTAACAGTTGCTAAAATATGCATAGACATGTTTTTATCACTGTTAAATGCTGAGTACACTGCAGTATTAATATTACAAATGTCCTGTTAAGAGATGAAGAAAACTCTCTGCAGGTGACACAATTTTAATATTTTTAAAAACCGCCTATTACAGTTTTTCTCGATTGTTTACACACATTTTCTGAAAGCATGCCTCATACACTCAGAACTCTACACACAAATCAAAAAAACACACACACAATGGGCAAAACACCTAAATTCTCCTGCAAAATGAAACTTTACATTCAAAACAATGTTATTCTCAAAATGGTATTTTGTTTGCAAATGACACACACAAACCATCATATGAATAGACATGTATAAGAACCAGTTGAACACTGATGTGCTCAATGGAAAACACTATGATGAATGGAAAACACTTCTTCTCCATTCATCATAATGACTTAGGCCTTTTTTTTGTTCAGTGTTACACTTACATACACTCACCTAAAGGATTATTAGGAACACCATACTAATACTGTGTTTGACCCCCTTTCACCTTCAGAACTGCCTTAATTCTACGTGGCATTGATTCAACAAGGTGCTGAAAGCATTCTTTAGAAATGTTGGCCCATATTGATAGGATAGCATCTTGCAGTTGATGGAGATTTGTGGGATGCACATCCAGGGCACGAAGCTCCCGTTCCACCACATCCCAAAGATGCTCTATTGGGTTGAGATCTGGTGACTGTGGGGGCCATTTTA